ACAATGATTAGATCAAGAGTTGTGTATGATGGAGGGTGAACGCTAAAACAGTGATGAGTAGGTTCAGTTGATACGACGTGGAGAGAGTGGGTGTCAAGTAGTTCTCGCAGCGCGATAGTTTCGGAGAGAGTTGGTAGCATCAAGTTTGAGTTAAAATCGCCAGCAACTATAACATCATTATACAAAGGCAGATAAATGGACAAGCAGTTGAAGAAGTGTGTGGGAAAGCAGGCAGCAGGACGACGATACACTACTGCCATAACGAGTTTCATTTTACCTGTGTTGACTTCACCAATAATAAACTCGGGTGAGTTGTCGTAGACGGGGTCGGAGTTAGCCAGTAGATCAAATCTTAAGTGTGTGCGGATATAGAGGCCGACACCCCCACCACGCTTACCTAATCTATCAAGTCTGAAGAAGTTAAAATCCGGCAATCGCAAATGGGAGTCAGGTATATCAGGCTTTAGAATTGTTTCAGAAACAGCTATAATGTCGTAGTGAATAGTTGAGATGTGGGACTCCAAGAGAGCGAAATGCGATGCCGAATTGAGACGGTCGACGTTAATGTGACCTATGGAATGCGATGATATAGAAGGGCGATTCTTCGGTGACAGAGGGAGTCATGCCACTGGTTTAGTAGAGGAATTACTATTGGCAACCTTTTTGTTGAAGGATTGCGGCTTAATGAGGTTAGAGTTTGGTCTAGGAGGTAGCTGCTGATTTTGGGATTGAGTAAGATGATAACCTGTTGACGAAGAGTTGACTTGTTGAGAGTCAGGTCCTAGAGAGCTAGATCTCGGTTGGGTAGTAGCAGAGTGGGCAGTGCTGTGAGTAAAGCCAAGTGGAGGCTGATGACCCGGTATAGAAGCAGTGGCTTGCTTTACAATACCGTAACCCAAACCATTTGCGTGTGGATCCGGAGTAGGTGATGGCGGAAACAATGATTGATCAGTGGGCATTGATTCCTGAAGAGATTTTTGAGACTGGATTTGCTGAGGAGGCTGATGAGAATTTGGTTGTTTGTCGTACGGTGGTTCATTTCGACTGAAATGAGTCGGCTGTAAATGCTGTGATTGCTGTGATAGGTGAGAACTTTACGACTGATGTGAGGAGTTAAGCTGCATTTGGTCGTGAGAATTTTGGTCCGAGCTCGTTGGAGCAAGCTGGAGATCAGCTAGCTCTTCGAGAGAGCAGATCGGTATCGGCTCAGATCGTAAGGTTTGGCGCATATGAATAATCATAGGGTAAACAAATGGACGAGCATATCCGAACTCTCTGCTACGTTCGGTAGCTCTGACTAGGAGGTCATGAAGAGGCTTGGGTAGTAGTTGACGAATGGAAACTGGGTTTCCCCCGCCAGCCCCAAAGATACTGTAGGTTGATTTGCCCCTCAACCTGCTAGCCGATTCAAGAATAAAGTCTCGAACCACTGTAGAATCCACTCGAAAGACCAGGGCGCAAGTGGTAGGCTCGTTTGTAGCATTTGTAGGGGACGAATTTCTTTGCGGTAGCCAATTTCTTGTAGAGATGATGTGAGATCTGACCGCAGGACAGCCCATGGCCTGAAGGAGTGGCAGCAGTGAATCATCGAGATTCCGAGTAAAGTGATTCGGTATACCGAGTACCAGAAGTTCTGCCTTGTCCTTCAGTCCCACCACACGCTTGAGGCTACGAACCTCGTGTATAGCAGCCCTAACATCATGATGGTTTTGACTCAAACCCGTACGAACCTCCTCTGTAAAAGGTGTAAAAAGATTGTCTTGGTAATGTAGAAACCAAGAGGGAGTCGAGTCGTTAATGGTTGACATGGTATAGGACTGTTCGGCAGTTAAGAGTGGTAATAGATTAGAGTCTGACTGAGAGGTAGACTTTGTTGGACTGGAGAGGGTACGAAAAACACGTAGCGTAACCGGCGAGCTTATGTTAATAGTAGTTGACGTCGGTGGAGAACGCTGGTGGACGGGCAGTAGAAACTGAGTGGTAATTGCGTCTATTGGACGAAGTTGCTTAGCAATGCGATCGAGTGGTTGGGCCTTACGCTTCCTATTAGCCGATACAGTGTGAAGTGGCGTGGCTTGGGAGGAGCTGTCTAAGGCAGTATTGTCGGTGTGTGCAGTGGGTTTGGCAGATTCGGCGCAACCACAATAAAAATCTTTGCCGTGAAGGAGCGATCTGGTATCAACGCAGGCCGCGTGCGAAAGTTTAAGGCATTTAATGCACTGAACGACAGTGTCAGATTTTCTCGATAAGATGCGATCGCAATAAGCACAAATAACCATTAGAGAGTAAGTAACGTTGTTACCTCCAAGTGCGTAGAGGTGGCGCGCCGCGTCGATACCGACGGAGAAGACAAGTGGTAAGGTCCTAAGAAGTGCCAGCCTAGGGGTGCGAAATATGACAGCGCAAAAGTATAGCCAACGCAAGAATAACAATTCACGCAGAAAACATGAATGTGCAAGTCATCGCAAACACCATGAATGCACCACCCCAAGGTTACCAAAATGCACAGTCACCACATGAAAAGCGCAATGGCAAACAATGCGGCAAAGACACTACACTATTAAGCCGCAACAATGTTGAGCGCAGTGATAGACGAGACGAAATGCACCAAGAAACAATCCTGCGGTGAAATCAAGACGTATAACGGACACGCAATCAGGAACAAATAGTAGAGCTGCGATGATATGAGTTGCTTGGGCTTCGCGTTGCAGCGGAGATTAATCTGCGAGTTGGCAAATGATAAAAATCACTGAAGGTGGTTGTTGTTTAGAGATGTTGTTGTTGTTTGTTGTTGACGCTTGTGTATGTGTAGCAGGCGTTGGAGATGTCGCTGTGTTATTGGCAGTGCAGAGTTGAAAGATTGGCCGGTGAGAGTGCGAGGTTTTGTTGGTGTAAGAAGCAATACAGTTGTCGGGCACTAATTGCAGCTGAAAGTGCAAGTTGATAGCTGAAGCTTGTCGGCCCGGTGAAACTGCACTGTCTGTGAACAAATTTTGCTCAAGAGCGAAACAATGATATTAATAACAACACAAAGAACGAGAGCCGATGTGAAGTACGTGCGACACCTACCAGAGAGAGAGAGAGAAAGAGAGAGAGAGAGAGAGAGAGAGAGAGAACGTGTCTGCGCTTTTCAATAAGGGATGAGAAAAAGTGGGGAACTCTTCCACGACAATTAACTGGCTGATCATGTACGCTAACACATGAGCTGTCTTATTTCCATTTTTATCATTTTCTTTGGTAGCTTCTTGTACGAGCTAGATAACACAGGCACACACACAAAAAAAGTGGGCTGTTCCAAAGATGACACCTATGTACCCTTATGTTTTTTGGTGCGCTGAATCTGAAACCACCGTCAGAATTGTTCCTACACCGTTCAGTTACTCGTAATCGGGGTAAAATACCCCTAAAATTCATTTATAGCACATTTTTATAGATAAGTTGGACCCCGGTGTAATATTAACAACTACAGTTCTGTATTTTAATGAGCTGAAGTTGAATTTTGGGGTGTTAGAGCCATGCAACCCCCTAAGTCTGCATAATCCCACCCTTAATACGGAAAAATTCTTGTCACGAAAATTGTTAGAAAATTGCGGGGATTGACGGAATCAGAGTATCCGGTGCCAAGCTTAAAGAATAAAGTTCTACGTACACTCAGGTGCAGAGCATCATTTATAGGTTTTCGAAATTTGCAACCCCCTAAGTCTCCAGAAAACCACAAAAAAAATATTATTTGCAAATCTCTGGTTGAGCCCACAAATATCCTCTTTCCTCCACTTCACATAAAACCTAATCTTATGAAACAATTTATCAAAGCTATGAACAAAGATGGTGATTGTTTCGCATACTTGGGATCGAAATTTCCGGAAATGAGCGATGCGAAGTTAAAAGAAGGAATCTTTGACTGACCACAAATTCGAACCTTATTTGCAGATGAGTACTTTGTAACGAGAATGAACGATATCGCGAAGAATGCATAGATCAGCTTCAAAGCAGTAGCACAAAAATTCCTGGGAAATAAAAAAACTGATCAGTGTCAGATTCTAGTTAATGAACTACTGAAGAATTATCAGAAATTGGGTTGTTTGATGAATTTGAAATTACATTTTCTGCATTCTTATCTGGACTATTTTCCCGCAAATCTCGGGAACTACAATGAAGAACAAGGTGAACGATTTCATCAAGATATACAGGAAATGGAACGGCGATCGCATGAGGCGTTATTTAAGCACTACTTAGCAGGGGCATCGCCATTTTGTAAGTACCTATTTGTTGGGTTCTCTTTCTCTGCTTTATCTGCGCTCTCTCTCTCTTTCTCTCTCTCTCTCTTTCGCTGCGCTGTATCCACGCTTCGTTTTCTTATACATGAATTATTACGCCACTGTTTTGTACGTACGTCTCATTTAAAACTCGTGCCTGACTCTCCTCTTCCTATCGATTCTTTCTAGCGTTGGTACGTTATTGTCGTCAGTCAATTTTTGTCACGTAATCTGCGACGCTCTCCACGGGTTAGAAGGCAAGACAGCTTTTATTGATACGGCAACCTGGACTATCAAACAGGGCCATTCGTAGCCATAGCATGTACCCTGCATCGAATGAATCAACTAGACTTAAAGTCTTCCTTTTTTTTATATAGTAACAACCGTCAGAAATCTCATTACAGCGTTTACTTATTTACACTCCGATGTTGTGTACATGACTTTTCCGCAATTTCCGTAAAAGCGTGATATTGCGCCCTCAATAGATGATACAGAACTACAACGACTGTATTTTAAATCATCTGTTTTACTACAGTCGTTAGACAAGAGTGAGAAAGGCGTACACTCACTATTTTACGCGCATTTCATGAAAAAATAAAATGTTATTATTTAATTTATTTACTACCGCAACAATTTATTCAACAAAAATTAAATCATTTAAGTTATGTTTATCTTATTATTTATCTACTAGTTAAATGTACAATTTCAGATGAAAAACTACAATATACTTTACAATTTTTGCAGAAATTGAGTATATTTTCATATCTTCACCAGTATGTCCCGTAGTGCAAATAAACGATTTTATAGGTTGGATAGTATGAATGATTTTACCAGTAATACTGAATCAAATTCCAACACTCAGCAAGATAATAGATGGAATTTTGAAATAGCTTGGGAAGCTGCGAATAAAGGTAAAATAAATGTTTATTTTTTTTATGCAATCAAAAAATTCCATTCTGTTAAGAATTATTAAAAAAATCTACTTCTTTGTGGAAAATTTTGATACAGCAGTTTGGAAAGTAAATGCAAAATTAGATGCTGTGGCGTGTTTGGGTACATCAAGTGTAAGTAAATGATTTCGATGAAACTTTGATATGTGGTAGAGGACTGAAAAATAGTCGACAGGTATTTTTTTTATGTGCTAATACGTACTTTAAAGGGGTGAAAACTGCCCCTAAAGTTCACCCCTGAAAATCGTTTTTTTGATATATCTCTTCTTCTAAATAAGATATTCTCTTGGAACCAACTGGATATTCATTGTTACTCAATACCAATGTCACGTTGCGTACCAATGCTCCAGAGGGTTGCAACCCTTACTTTTTATAAGGATGGAAGTGATTTGTTTCTTACATTTTTGTCTGCCAATATTGTGAATTCAATTTAATCCTCTTCTAACTTTTTTTATTTAGAAGGAAATTAAGAATCCAACTTGACGTATTTTTTATTTTTTTCTAATTTAAGGTTAAACTACCCTTAAATTAATTTTTTTATTTTCATTGAAACTAAGCGCTTTGAGTTAAGTGTATAAACGAAATTGATGTAACTAACATTGAATCTGTTCAATATACTATGCACGACTGACAAAAAGCCAAAAATATTCATTCGTGAGGCGAAGAAACCATTTAAGGGGTGGAAACTACTCATCACGTTCACCCCCAAGAACCGTTCTTTCAGTATATTTCCTTTTCTATAAAACATTTTTTCTTGAAACCAACTGAAAATTATTTGTTACCATGTCACAATGTTATAAGTTATACCACAGATCCAGGGGGTTACATCTTTTATTTTTCACAAGGGTGAAAGTATTTTTTTAAATTTTATTCTTGCAAACTAAATGAAATTTCTTTTATTCGGAAGGACATTGAAAACTACAGGTAATGTATTTTGAATTTTCTTTTTAAATTATATATTAGACGGTAAAGAGTTAAATATTTATTTGAACATTTATTTATTATCAATCCTCTCCAGTTGAATATTCATTTTTATTACAATAGATAGCTATGATAAGGAAGCAGAATTAAATTTTAATAATACACTAGATGATATTCCATATTACTTCTTATTGTTAGGAAACTTATCTATCAACTTTATTAATTTTTTTAAATAAAAAAAATTCTTTCAAAATGCATTGAGAATATCGATATAAATTTATGATTTATAAGCAGAACAATAATGATATTCTTCAAAAAAATGCTTGAAACATAAAGATTTCTTACACCAACCGCAACGAATAATAGCTACGTTTTTACAACCGTCTATTTCACAATACGTTCCACATGAATCTCTGAAACTAAAATCTACAGGATTTTCAAATGCTTCTGGTTTATCTACAAGATACCCACTTTTATACCACGCATACCTGAATAGATTCTTATAACGTGGGGATGAAAACTGGTTATGAACTAGTGACTGTAATTTGATAATGTTATTCGTTTGTGCAACTCTAAATCATGATCTGTATACATAATACTATCTGAAAATTGCTTAACAAAATTTTTCCAAACACGGAACCCAAAAAAATCTAATGTCTGAATATTTCCAGTGGTTTCTGTAGATATTCGTTTTAGATGGACCGTTTTATCACGTGGCGTAGCATGATGCAGAGCTTCTGGACAGTGTCCGCTCCATGAATCAAGTAATAGCATTGTTGTAGATCCAACATTTGGATATATATCCAAATATAATTCCCTCAACTATGTTTTAAAGATATATGTAAATTTGTCCTTTTTGAATTGCTATATTTACAAGTATGTGAAACATGATTTTACCTGACTTCATTTTTCCAGACTTTGAAGCGGCACATACACCTTCGGAGGCTTAAATATTTTTTGTGGGACAGTTGGTCCCAAATCTCCGGTTCGTTCTTGTAAAATTAAGATTAAAGGTGATAATAACTATCCCTCTGCTGATATCGTTGGTTGTACTGTATAGCTGTGTGTAGTTAACGAGACAGATTATACAAGACACTGTACTTGCGTTTCTCCTTCAATGCTAAAGTACGACCAGAATGCATTTCTAATTGAAAACCACTCTGATCTGAATTAAATGTATTCGGAAGACCAATTTGTTTTATTAATTGATTGACGTCTTTTGTAAATTCCATCTCTTTTATGTGCAATTCATCTCTATTTTCTATGCTTTTTTTTGTTACAAATTTGTTAATTTTTCTAAAAATTATTCTATGGGCTTCTTTAAATTTTGCAAACCGACCTTTGCAAGCTCTAAATCGTACGTCCTCGTTCCCAATCAAGTTTTGTGCTTGTAAAGCCGCCCTTCTCAAGTCATTATCATGAATTATAAATCCAAATTGAAGAGCCGCGTTAAAGTTTTCCAAGGTATAATAGCAAATCCTTTAAATTTTTTCTCGGTACGTACCACCTTTGTTAATTTCGTGAGCCCAGCGATGTAACTGTGTTTCAGATTTGACTTTACGAAACCGATTTCGTACTGTTTTAAGAGACAAATTTCGCTTTCCTTTTCTGCTCCTTCAAAACTCCACAGCTCTTTTCTTGTATTCGAAACTCAATGGTTCACTTTGGCTTGTGCAATCATCTGTCGAAAATTCAGGATCAACAGGAAGTGTATATAGATCAATATCCTCGACAATAATAGCATTAGGTTCCTTAAATTTTTCTTGGAAATCTAAAGTAGTTTCTACAATCGAATTGACGTTATTACTTGAGTCTTCAAATCTAATAATATTGACTGAAAAAGATCTTTAATTTCCACTTCCTTAATATTGTAATTACTTTCTTCAATAGGTAGTTGTTGAAAATAAGCGAGTAGCATATTTATCACGTTTAGAAGATTGATTTTTATTTTGAATGCTAAAATAAACATGAAATGCTGGTAAAAATAATTATAAATACAAGAAAAATCTTCATCTTATCTTATCTAGGCTCATAATTAGTCGATGAAGAATGTTATATTTACGCATGTACTCCATAAAGAATTTAACTAGAAAATTACTTGAAGAGACAATATCAAATATAAACTTACGTTTGCAATGGTAGTCGATTCGATTAATCGATCCATTCGCGATTCGGTAATACTCACGACGTTAGAGCGAACGATTAAGAGAGAGAGAGAGGGCGCGCGAGAGTTCAAAAGTTTCAGTTAAGCCTCAGCTGTTTTCGGGAGAATACCGCCAACTTTTTTTGCACTGTGTTTCGCCATTTTTTTAAAAGTTTTCCTAGGATTTATTGATACGTACGCGAGTGTACGAGAAAGCAGCTTAGTAGCATGTTAGCAGGAGCAGCAGCATTTTAGCAGTAGCAGCAAATAGCAGCAGATCTGAGAGCGAGGCAGCGCAGCTGATCAATTCGAGGAGCATCGACCGTTGATTTTCTTCAACATCAATTACGGCTGATCACCGTAATTGCACCGCAGGGTAGGTGCACCTCCCTTTATTATTGCGCGACAAAATACTTTCGAAAGTATTTTGTCAATCGCGAGCGTAATTTTTGTATTCGCGCCGAGCGTTAGATTTCGCGGCAAATTTTTGAATTCTTTCTCTCTCTCTCTCTCTCTCTCTCTCTCTCTCTCTCTCTCTCTCTCTCTCACCGAATTATAATTTATAATTGTGAATCTTATCTCGAGTGTTAGTCTTTCGGCCTATAAAAGACTATAGTTTTTGATAATTAAATTTTGTTCATTTTATTCGCCGTTTACGTCATTTCAATTCCTATTAGCTTAATAGATCTATAAAGGTTTAATAATTATATTAGTAATCTTGATCTTAGGAGTCGTCCCTATTTTTTTTTTCTTGATCTTAGGAGTCGTCCCTAAGATCAAGATTACTAATATAATTATCAAACATCAGGAGTGGAAAAAATTAACAATAATTTATATAAAGGTTTAAGTCTTAATCCGATTTCGTCTAGGGGATTAGGCGGATTAGGCATTAAATCAGTCATACTGAAGATAGATCGAGTATCACAAGTCAAGTGACTTAAGGTAAGTTCAACTCGGTTGAAAAGAAGACACTGAAACGAAATCATCAAACGTAAAGGCGAATACACGTATAACTATATGTGTTTAACGGAGCGGCGGTTAGCTCTGCATCTTGGGAGTTTGTGCTTCAATAAATTTCTCATTTTGTAGAATTACCACCCCGTTACACATTATATATAAATTAAGAAAAAACAATTATTCACACAAACAGAGAAAAAAAATTTTTTTGAGAAAAAGATTGTTGAAAATCAAAGATGAATATAAAAGTTATTTTCAATACGAACATGTAGAATGCCTGATTCAATTCATTTATTTCTACACATATTCCAATTCAAAATCCATATGTAGCATTCTTGCATCGATATAATATTTTTCACATGGCTGAAATATATGACCTAAAACTTACATACCTTCCTACTCTTGAAATTTTTTTGAGACTTGGAATAATATAAATATGTATATATTTTTTTCGAACGTTTCGCAGAAATTTCTTTCGCAGAATAGCAACGACTCACAACAAAACATTCGATTGACTGGCACCGAATGAAAATATATGTGGTAAACACATGATGATGAAACCTACTCATTTTTAGCAGATGAACAAGTTGAAAATATTCCAGTGACTCACACCAGAAACTTATGGTCATAATAATGTTAGAGTAATTAATTGTTCGCGTAAATAATTGTAAACGTAATTATTATTAACTTTACTACTTTTTTCAATTATACAATATTTAAAGAATGTAGAATATTGTTGGCTACAAAATGAGAACTTTCTTTTTTAATATTTAATTTAAAGAAATTAATAACTATTAAAGTGATCAAAAACAAATTTTTATTATCTTTGAATATGTTTAATGATATGAATAACTAATTTTTTGTATTGTTTCAATTCGAGAAAGCTTTTTTGATTTAAGAAATTTTTTAGAAAAGCATCATCGTATAAGTATTGTGTATT